CAGAAATAATACTACAATACGTATAAGTATATGTAAATAATGTTACCAGGAGCAGACTCAGTTCATCGTTATGTGTACGAGGTCGCATAGTCTTACCACTAAGGTCATCACGGACATTCATGGCTCGACAACGCCTTTGCTTTTGACACTGTAACCGAGAATCACCAACCTAGTTAAACAAGAAGTCAGGAATAAAGGATTTAGGAGATACATATATAGCTGAGCTGACTAGTCAGTGCTATGGGTGCTTAGCAGGGCGTACCCAGTTGTAATCTGTTGAGGGTGCTTGGCCGAAAGAACTCAGCTAGGATACGTTCAATAGAGTGAATTGTGTCAGTATCAGTGTCGATGACTTACTAAACTAATTATTTTGAGGATTTACTTACCGTTGCAATGTCACTAAGCCAGGAACGTTTGTACAATCAACTCTGTGGCACATTAAGCAGATAAGTCGGAAAGAATACAAAGCAGCTAACTGTGAGGAAAAAATGTTCGTAAACATGTTGAGGAACCTATTCCTACTATGACGGTATAGCAATTCACTTAATTTAAGGAACTATAACTAAAAAGTTGATGAAGCCTCCAAGTCTAGAGGTCAACTTATTCTAAATTAATACCACCCGTAAAAACAAAGTGTGGCTTATAACACGTGTCCAATCACACAAGCCCAAGAAAAATAACGATATCGGCAAAATGATACCGACAAAAATTACAAGGCTTGTTAAACAACTTATTTATCTAAACATACAAACTCAAGTGTGGTTGACGTTACTATATTGGTGAACAAATGGATCAGGAAAAAAAGATGTTCACCAACATAAACGTTTGGTTAACTCCACTGACTAGGCTAAAAGTACGATTTTCTGTAGCTTTTTATTTTGCGCATCACATGATTATTTTTCACACACAATATACCATATGCACATGCCTTGAGCACTCATGAATAAACTCATATCACCTCACCATGCATGGCTTTATTTTCACTAATTAATATTGAATCTATTAATGGATTTCACCTTGATAAACACTATTTTGTATCCTTTGATAAATATATACAATACTAATAACAATTTTGCATACTATTACACCTATAATACATCATAAATTTATCATAAAAGCGACTTATGTCATATTACACTTTTTATGTTTGGTATTTACTTCAATTAGCCAAACTTAATTTGTCAGCGCTTCAATCTTTTAAATTTCACCAAGTCTGTTAATCTTTCATTGCTAATTGTAAAACATTTTATTTAAAATTCCAATGTTGTTTTTTGGTGCGAATACACTTCCTTAATTGATTACCAATTAAGTACACCGTCCGTACTAATTAACTATTTTATTCTTAACGGTGCCTCTGAAATTTGTCCATTTTACAACCTACTCAGTTGATATGTTTACAATGTAGTTTCATTGTCTCATTCTGCCAGATATGAGGGCACTATCTTTTGTTAAAGTACAATATTTCTTGCGTTCTTCATGATACATAGAAGTTACATACATGTTTTACAAATAGCTGGGGACACTGAATGTCTGTGAACAAAACTGAAACCCCCTTTATGTGTTCAAAGACAATCTGTTCTTGCCGTTAACCTACCCTGGTAATGCTGGCTTATTATCAAGCGTTGTTTTCCACATCGTGTACCTTGTTCCCCCTTGCCTTTTCATTTGTCTAGTCAACCTTTTATTTTTTGTATACAAAGTCTTACCAAGTATATGTGTAATCAAACAGTTCGAACTGTATTGCGCGACTATATCACATTATTCTAATAACCTTCGTCTTCTCATCGCACTATCCAAACTAATTTTCTGAATACATAGAGGTATCCTGTTTGTTGAAATTAACAGAAGAAACTTCTTAGTATCCAGTTTTTCAAGATAAGTAGTATTATGAGTGCTGGACACAATACCCAGATCTGTTCGATATGTACTCTAGTAGTCATGAATGGACCATTACTCAAGTCTCCTTATGCATAAAATCAATGCTTGTTAGAAATAAACGACCGTCTGAACACAGTTGCAGCAGACGGTCAACATTATCTGTTCTCTGATCTGGAATACCAGAATACCCACCTAAATGTCTTTCTGCTTGGTTTAACCTACCTACTTGAGCATTAAAGTCGTCTGCTAGAAGTACTATGTTCGAGCATTTAGCTTTTCGAAGAAGTTCAGAAAGCTTTCTGTAAAAGTCGCCTTTCATTTCATCCAGGGTGCGGTCAATGGGAGCGTAGGCAGAAACGACGAAAAGGTAACGACGTGTGTCCCTATCCTTCCGAGTTCTTGAGGAACCGTTTAGCCGAACAACACATAGGCGACTGTTAACGGAGATCCACCCTAATAGTGCTTGTTCCGCCCTCATGCTTAGTGCGATGCCCACACCTGCTAGTCCACGAGAGCTGGCTGTCGGGTCACCAGATACACGGAGGGTGTATCTCGTTGGCTCTCCGTTTTGCGGAGGTGAGGTAAAGTTAATGACCACACTAGGATCCTGTATGCGTGTTTCAGAGACACAGCATACATCAATGGTACGAGATTCTAGGTTTCTAGCCAAAGAAGCCTGTTGACCGATTTGACATAGGGTGCGTACGTTGAAGGCTCCAATGTGTAGTTTGGAGTGAGATTTCAGTAGACCTAGGACAGTGTTTCGAGCACTAGAATCGTTCGCTCTGGTGACACTTGAGGGGGAAGCCGAAAGAGGAAGTTTGGTGTTGAAAGTCGATGGAGGAGGAATAATAGGAATTGAAGAGGTAGGTTGATTATGAACATAGTGTTCTTGAGTGCTGTTAGAGGTATGAGTGTGGTTTTCACTTCCCGGTTGCCCACACCGTGGAAGGGTTCTTCTTGAGGTGCCTGAAAAGTAAATTGGATTGGCTGTGATCTTAGTGACCTGAGAGCGTGACCGCAGTGCCCAAGAGACAACTGCTTGAGGTCGATCACACACGACCTTTTGGATTAATTTTCGTGTTAGCTTCGTAATTGTTGAGACCGTACCGCCTGAGACGGATATCCGTGGGATAATGCGGTGTGCATCTTTACAGTCGACCCTTTCTAACCCCACCCAACATCGCTGTCATGCTGGTTGTCTGAAGGAAACACCTTACTGCTGTCACACCTCCATACAACCAGCAGTACGACTTCGCCTTCGGACCTTAGGTTTGTTGCTTTTAGTCTTACCACTCTTCAACCGACCTGTTTGACACGGTAGGACCTTGAGAAACGGTTGTTCCAGCCAGTATAGCTCGGTTGCTTCATCACGATAGACAAGCCCGACCACCACGTCCAGGTAGCAACAACAGTCGGGTTATGATAAGTAGGATTAGGAGTGCTAGATACAATACCAAGATCTGTTCAATATGTACTCTAGTAGTCATGAATGGACCATCACTCAACTTAGATATAAGACTGTACACACTTGAAGGTATTATATTGCAATTTGAACTAGACGCGCAATAATGTACAAAGTAACCATTATTATGTACAAACATCACAACTTTTCTTACCCACCAACCAATTAAACATTGCAATCTAAACTGACAACACTTACAATTTTCTGTTGCATCCTCAGGAAGTAATAATAATTGTTGCTTTATATCTGAGAAACGATGTATAAAAAACTGGGGATCAGTAAGTAACTGTGTAAATATGTTACAGTTTAGATGAATTCGATCAATCGAAGTAAGTTTTAAACATTTGGATGTGTCATTCATTTTATTCGGACAAGCATAATAACTACCACCAAATTTATTGGGTAATTTCAGACAACCGTAACGAATGCCAAAGAAAGAAGACTGCTTGCCAAACACTGCAAAAACATTGACTGCCCATGGAAAATGAAACCAGTGGATATTTTCGATACGATGAGGCCGGCACACTCGATATCTTTACTTGACCTAAAATTCTCGAAGCACTTTGATGTTAGCTAGTTTAATCGTAATTAGGTCTTCCCTTCTACTATGCCAAATCAGTCGGTCATTTGGAACATAGAATCCGGCACATATCAGGTTACACATTTGATCCTTCGTAACAGTCTCCTAGCAAACTGTTTTATTGTACAAAAAGGTCTCACGATTGAGTAACTGATATTTCCCGTAATATTGAAGGTGCTATAAAACATAAACTGCGTCATAGAATGCATGGTAATGTACTGGTGTTTCTGGATACAAACTAAATAAAACGTCAAAACTTCCCGACAGAATCCTCTCCTGTTTGATTGAAAATATCCAGAATTAATCGCACATCTCTTTTAATCACTTTTTACGTATCGATGATATCACATTAAATACATATGTTAACACAATTTAATCATATTTCAGACTTAACGATGAAAGTGAATTAGATTTTACAGCCTCGTCTGGGTCATCACATTAAATTGTGTGGGTGTTATCAGACTACTCTTACATTACAAGCCTAATTAACCAAATTATTCTTATGAATTACACCAACATTCCATAATCTTTTATTTGTAAAACTATTTAATTATTTTTTATAGATAACTTTATTATAAATTTCGTGTACTTGCCATGCAATAAATTTTTAACTATTAAACGACTTCATCCATTGAGCAAAAACTAAATAAGCTATTTTCCCTGAAAATCAGTGTTCGAAATGAGAACTAGCTCCGAACTATCATAGAGTTTTATATGCTTTGCACGACAAAAGTACTATTTATTGCATAGCTAAACCCATAATACGTGTGGAAGACTTGAATTGTGAACCGTGCTACGAACTAGCGACCTAAATGTACTCAAAGTGAAATTCGAAAATTCCCTTCGATTACCAATCGACCAGTGAAGAACTCTATGGGATATTTCGAGAATATAAGTAGTATTCAAATCTATTCGAAATTTCCGGTGAATGTGACAAATGATTGTGGCGGGTTTCATTTATCAGTAAGCCTGCACGACTTGTTCCGATATTTCATTATAAAGAATACACCAGTAAGATAGATCTCACCAATCTATGTAATACCATTATTAGTAAGAAGTAACTAGGATAGGTTTTATATGTGTTCATATTCCTGGCTGAAAATTTATTGTCAGTGTATTCAGGATGCGTGTGGTACTGAACAGTGGTGAAAACAATCTTTTATGGCTATTTATTCAAAATTACAAATATCTATCACAAAATTATTTTACGAGTATTACATCGCAGAACTAGTAGATGGTGGTTTTACTTTAATCAGTTTTAGTATTCTCATGTACACGACCAATGCGTTCACAAATCTCCTCGTTCAGTGTATATGCTGGATGGTATGCGATTCGTCCACTTTCTGTTATATACCTTAATCGTGGATTGGGATGAGTATCTTCCATACTTCCAATTGATGTGTATCTGTAATACAGAAAAAACGCGGTATTGTTTATTTAAAAATTGATATAAGTCAATAAAAAAAGATAGAATTTAGGCTGATATAAAAATATTGACAACAGAGGAAAATTATAGCTAATAAAAAACTATGCCAATGGTAATTACGTCATGTAATTAATCATTAATTAATCAAGGGTTAATCACTGGACCTAATCTTGGCGACTATAAAAATTCATGTTCAAGTTTGAGAATAAAAAGTATATCGCCGAAGTCACAAGGTAAAACTACACTTAACTCCAGATCGAATGCAAAAGCTTCGATATCAAAGAATATTATTTTCAATATATTCAGACCAAACTCGTTCTCCTTCCAAATCTTCCTGCAAAGAACATTTAGCATCTTTACAGTTACCTATACGACTAACTTCAGCGCTTCAGCTATTAAGTTGTCTAGTCCTGCTGCTTTCCCACTCCTGATTCGCCTGATGGTCATCCTGACTTATTCCATCGTTAGTGGAGTGATAGCTATAGGAAGGTCTGTAGGTTGTCCGTCAGTATCTGGTGAGTTCAACCAGGTTGATCTATTAAACAGTTCCTCGAAGTGCTTTACCTGTTGTGACTTTTAGCCCAGCTAATTATCACGCGGTTTATTCGCCAACCAGAATACGACTTATACAATCTTATCATTGCGCCAAACCAATGACGTTCGACCGGTATGAGCAGTCTAGTACCCTTATTAGTCCTTTGTACTACTAGCCCTGCCAGTTGAGTCCAAAACACCAATACCAGCTTTCGCTACGCGAATCATTTACTTCAAACGTACCTAGCTTATTCACGAGCCAAACGGACCACATCACACCATAAAATAGGAAATAACATTTGTACAAGATCAGGCCAAAAGGTGGATATGGTTGTGGGTGGTGGTAATTGATAGACTGAGAATAATTTAAGAATAATAAATCGTATCATAATAGTCTATAAGTCAGAATAAAGCTTATAATAAGAGGAATATAGTTATGCGTAATTTAGTTACTGAATAGTTACAAAATAAGAACAAATATAATATTAGTTCATTAATGGTTCTCAGAAGTTACCAATAAACACTACCCACTTGTTCCGCTGTTCTCGAACCTTAGTGATTGGTTTGTCTTTTGTGTTCATGACTGGTTGCTCTGGTTTACTGTATTCTCCAGCTAGTTTCTTTGTCATATCATATAGTTGTCTCATTCCCTTCCCTTACAGTTTCTTCTGTTGTTACTGATATGTCTTCCATATAATCCTGCTCATCACTATTAATGCTCTTCTTCACCCGTTGGTTTGCTTCTGTGTATCCAGACTGAGCTTTAGTTTTCTCTGCTTCCAATTGGTTTCTATTGATTACTCGCTTATTTTTTTTCCTTTATTGAACCATGTCCAGGGTCTCCATAGAGATCCATTCCTTATGATAATGCTTCTTGCGGCACGCTAAAATTAGTGCTTCTCCAATCCCTTCCCGCTTGTTCTCTATAGCAGTTTCCTCTTCTTTGAGCAGATCTTGTAAGGCTTGAAACCTGATGCTGAAAGTTATCTTGAATTCGTTCAGTATGTCAGTATCTCGATGGAAGACTGTAGTATACCTTTGTAATGCTATTTCTCCAGTTATCCAGTACTTTTCTTAGCTTCAATTCTACCCTGGTAACCACCAGATGGTGGTGTGAAACTATGTCAGTTCCTCTATTGGTTCTCACATCTTTCGCTGACCTTCTGAATACTTCATTGATGCAAGTATGACCGATATGGTTCTCCGTAGTGTGATCTGGTGAGACCCATGTACCTCATCATTCTCTTAGTTTTCTCCCAGTCCATGGTCGTCTCATGATATGCTTGTACCCAGTGTTGTTTATTCCGACCTCGATGTTTAGCTCTCCTATCAGGATGGTTAGATCCTCTTCCTAAGCACTTCTCTAGGATCGACTGTAGCCTCTTGTAGAACTGGTTTTTATCGTCTTCATTGCTATCATTGGTGTGTGCATAGCACTGGACAACATGCATTGCGATTCTCTCCTCCTTTGTTTTGAAGGATGCTTTGGTGAGAATGTATCCATGCGGTTCCCATCCGATAAGTGCTCTTCGTGCTTCTCTGAAGAGGATCAGTGCAACTCTATTTGTGTGCGGAGCCTTTACTCTTCGTGACCGGAATATAACCACATATTTTCGTAATATTCTACTGTCCAGGTTGGATCCAACAGTTCTCACTTATTCCGGGCACCTTCCATTTCTGGTATTCCACATAGTCTGGACAATACATGTATGTATATTAATTGTTACTCTGGTTGTTAGAAGGATCATCGGCCTCGAGACTTCCGAAGAACCTCGACGCCACTATAAGGCTTCATAATTCTTCTAAATGAAGTTCTTTTAACTCCCAAATAGATTGTAAATGGTTAAAATTGTTTATTCTGGGTCGCGTTTTCTTAGCAAGGCTGTTTTCTACGGGGTGGGGTTGCTGACCTCATACCCAACTCTTCTTTACCCGGGCTTGAGACCAGTAGTAACATTAGAGAAGCTACAGGCGGAGGTATCCGTAATGTTAGCACACGTTTAGTTGTTAATACGTTAACATTGTGTAAACAATGCAGATTTATGATTCACAACATATTTATGATATTTCCTAAAAAGCACTAGTGAAGCATTTTAATTTAAGGTTTTTATTTACAATATTAATGTTGATAATTACCCGGCGTCATACAGACTGCAGTATGGAAGTGAAAGAGATCGGAGAAAATTCCATACATCAGAGTATGTCCACTCTAAGAGTGGATTGATCCGAAGAATTTGAGGCCAACCAGGATCTGACATTACCATATGAGACATTTTGTCTACGTAGAAGATAACAGTTAGACAATGAAACCCATTATTATCTGAAATATATTAGTACCATAGTAATGAACAAGTCAACACAATAGCTATTCGTACAACTTAACTTGCAAATTAGTCAGCAAACAATTACTGAACATAGAGGACGAGTCTTTAAACATTATTATCTTATCTGATTCGCCAAAATGTGGTCACAAGAGAATGACGCAGGTTATATTATAAACATGCACTTGGGAATGCATAATTAAATAAACTGAAAGACAGGTGTGTTTCAGTGTCTAATGAAATTCCTAACTACAGCTAGTATATTGGCATACTGATCAAACCAACCAGCTGAGAAAGCTTCATCGAGTAATGTTAGCTGGGAGATTACTGTCAACACGCCCTGCTCAGCTAGGTAGGTCAATCAGAGAGGGGTAAGTTAAGACAAAAAACAACAAATTCAAGAGTGAAGTTACAGTACTAATCTTTCTAAAAGCAACTGGGACAGATCAATGAAAACGTTTTACTCTGTGACCATGGTGTGGTAAGAATTCCGGGAGGAGATTCACTTCGCTCGAGACTATTTCACTATTAAATATATGGAGTTGTTTGTGAGGTAACTGAGTAGCAATAATAAATACGACCTATAATACTAGTGTACAGTCCTAATGAGAAGCCAATTGAAAGGAAATGCTACCTTGTTCATCTTGCTTTTTTATCTGATCTCTTCTTGAGAAAACTTGATTTCTTGAAACATTTATCTATTTGTAACAAAAAATGGGCAATAAAAAATGAAATAAGTCGAAAAGGAATAGCGATACTCACATGCTCCGGGATCTGTATATCTTGTACCCATGAAGGCACCTCTTATTTCAGGATAATCCCCTAAAAATCTTTCCAATGCACTTTGAATAGATCCCTCATATATAAATACGCTATTATCCATTGAGCACGATGAAGTCTGTGAATTTACATCGGCGTGTCGTTGTTCATAATGTTTTAAATCTGGTCGTGAAATTTTACTCCATAATGAATAATACGCATCAACTATTTTTTCAACAAATAGTTCGATTTCTGGAAAAGTAGAACATGAACGAATATATAAAAGTTTCGGTAATCTTGTAGGTTTTATATTTTCCGAATGGTTGTTATTATTATGACTTTGATGTTGAATTGCAGCATGGATTAAATGAAGTAACGCTGTGCAGTCTTTACCACCATTAAAACATATAACCAGCTCAGAATCACTTTGAAAGGAAAAAAAGATGTAATAGATTCTATGAATTCTTTATATACGCGGTATTTCAATAATGAAACTGGTTGTTTGACTGAAAACCGACTAAGAAAAATGTAACTTATAGTTTGTTTCAGGACACGTAGGATGGTAATGGCTAGAAAAGATAGAATTTTAGCCAATTGGACAGTGAAATAAGAGTTCCCCCGATTTACATTTCAGTTTACCCTGGTACATAATCAGAATAATGCCATTGGGTAGTTTATTGGATTGATGGATTAATTACCTTAGAATATTCATAATTTTCTCATAGAAATTTTAGGGTGGTTAAAAATGTATATGGCAACGAGGTGCATCGTCGTTGAATAATAAATTTACACAATCATATGTCAGGTGCCGCTTACAAGAATTCTTCTTTATTATAACAAGTAGTACGGAGGAAGAGCAGTCAAATTTATCATTCATTCAACTGTTCAATGAAGTTCATCCTTTGTTACGGTAGCAAATTAGTCACCTACATAAAAATAAGATTTGATATCACTGCCAAGATTTTCTCATCCTATTTATTCACTTTAATAGATATCAATTTATAAAGAAGAAAAGGAGACACAACGAAATACGATCATACATTTAATGTTGATACCAACTACACGGCTACTTTGAATAAAAGCTGGACATTTTTTATCTACATTTTCATTTTTTCAAAAAGAATTAAATGACACTATTTTCATAAGAACTAGATTACAATCTTTATTCTAATCTTACATATAAAACCCATATTGACACATATCTGTTATTTTTTATTTAGAAAAACCATCGACCTTTAGTGTCAAATTTACCAGGTTCATGAAAAAATGACTAGTAATTAAATATCTAAAATGATACGACAAAAATGTATCAACGCAGAGGGTTTGCGCAGGTTATTGGATTTTAAAGCTTACGGTACGAATTGAACCCAAGGTCCTAGGGTTTGATCACCTATGGTTTCATAAATGGGTATTGTTGAGGAGTCTCATATTAGGAAGACATAACTGTCCAGTGCTTACTGGTTTAAAATGATTGCCTGACTAAGGTCAGTCTTTAATATAGAATGTTAAAATGAATAAATTGGTAGTGTGAAAATAACAGTGTAGTTACTCAATCAAATAGTTAAATCCAGCTAATCTGAAACGAAACAAAAAATAAAAAATTAGTTTGCTGGAAGTGTACCTGTATTTATTCAGTACTTCTTCTATAAACTGCAAAGATTTAGCTACACGTTTACCCAAATTCGATTCTGCCTGCTTACATAATTTATAAACTTCTTCATCAGCTTTATTGATTGGATATGGATTATACCTTATAATGTCTGAAAAAATGTGGGGTACAAAAATAAACAGATCAGCGGGAATGAACTACTTAATAACAAAACAGCAAAAAGTGGTATGATAATTAGTTACTATAAATGGGTCGATTTTACATCTTCTAAACCATAACGCAAAACGAATTCTATTGATTGTGTTTTGCATAGACATGTTGAGAAATATCATGTAAGATTTTGTGTAAAACGTCTCAACGACTTAGTTAATAGTTGAATAAATGAAGGAGTTTGTTATTCATATGTTGTGGCGCCATTCGACAAAAACAATGGTGTGCCACCGCATTCAAATTTAGATAAAGCATGTATATAGATTTTTCTTGGTTCATTTAAAATCAACCATTATAAACATTTTTTAAAAGAAATTATCATAAATAAAGTCTACAACTGGAGAAATAAACAAAAGTGAAAAAAGAAAACTCACAGTCCTTAAATAGGCGTTCAGCTTCTTCATAAGCCAACTTCAGAGTATTTTCTTCAAGTGAATCAAAAGCTATTCGAACACGATAATAGCTAATAGATAGAAACACGGAAATTTAATAGTGGGATACATTTACTAATAAATGAAATATATTTCATTATCTCCTAATAGTAGTGAGAAATAAAATAAATATATACTGGCGATTTGTTTTTCTGCTCGATGTATCAATTTTAAGTGAGCTATAACTGTATTTTAATAAATTATACAGGTAACATAAATATAGATGTATCTTCAAAATAAAAACAGATAGAATTACTTGTTATGAAATGCAGGATAAGATCCAATACTGACTAAACCTTGATATTTTTCGGCTAATTGAGACAAATCCTTCGCTATTTCAGTTTCCATAGTGGTAAGATATAAGGAATGATGAAAGAATATCACATTAGGATCTCGGATATGGTCCTGAATACAATACAAAAAAAGATGAATCGCAAAGTGAAAACAATGGAACACAGATTATATGAAGCAATTAAATAAACACAGTAACTTTATGGTAGTGTACAGATGTTAACATAATTTTTATGCCTATAATCCTGAAATTGGATGCACAAATTTTGTGATGGTAGTGTGTTGCTGGTGATTTGAAAAAGATAATCTTGGATTAATAGTATGAGCTTTGTTAAACTAGATTAAAACAAGAAACCATTCTGGTACAAGAATGGTATAAGCACAAGATTAAAACTACGATGAATTTTAGACCGTTTTCAACTGACGAGGAAAACAGCTTTCCAGGATGGATAGTTCGTGAGAGTAAAAATTATATTATAAGGTGTAAGCAGATACATAATTAATAGATTAAATCCCTCTACAGCTTACTCTTCCTGTAAATCAAAAAAGAACATTTAACACTATGATTTTAAACAATTTTTCCCGTTGATAAATGTGACTAAAGCAAGAACAACGAATGTACCAAAGTAACATAAATTCATTTATATTTTAGTTTCCTTTTAGTTGCTTAAAATCTGACGTACATTTTTTAATTATATGTTAGTAAAAATTGTTTTTGTCACGTTAAATTTCTTGGGCATCACAGATAGATATTTCTACTGCTCGTTATACATGACATTTGAATTTTGTGCTTCAAACTAGATGTTGCTTTCTCGATTCTGATTAGCTCATCCCAATAGTAAAGTATGGTCAATATAATACATTAAATTGAAATGTACTTCATTCAAAAAGATGGATTTTCATCTGTTTGTGTAAAATTTCTAGGACGAAATGAAGTTTACATTTTTATAAACAAACATGCCTTCACCATATAATTACAACACATGTATTTGAAGCTGTTTGATCTGTAAATAAAATTTTCGATCTCAATTGCAATAAAATTAATGCTGCATACCTCATGGTTAGTTCCATAAATTAACTTAATTCCTATTTAATAATAATAAGCCACCCTCCCAAACATCCCGGTACGGCAGAAGGTGTAGAGTCCGCTCTCCTCGAAATGATCTCACATGACCACGCGTATACACCTACTGCTAGGGAAGTTCCACTCTGCCTTCTCGTGGCGGGGGTGTTGTCTACGCAATTGAGAGGATGAAGGGTCCACCTAGGGGAAGTAGAAAACCCTGATTCCGAACCAATAGTGCACATGGGCTCCAGGATTCTGAATGAACAAATGGCATATGAGCCTATTGTTGGTCATCGGCTACTATGGGATTGTATCTCCCAACGTTACCCCGCTGCCTTGTGGACTAGACATCCAGGTCAAGGGCTCGGGGAGTGGCTCTAAGAAAACCACCTGCTTCGGTTTTGGCATCCGAGCAGTATCACAGCGCTCATACAAATCGAATGATTTCTGTGGTACATATACATTTGGTGCCTCCTTGTACCAATGTTCATGTGTTTAAATAAATCAATAAAATAAATAGCTATACTGATCATTATGTTCATAGCAAACCTCTTTAATCCCGTATGAATTAATAAGTTGGATATCACGCAATTCACTACCGTTATTCGTAGTTTGAGTAAATAAAATAGTTCTAGACTTTCGGACTAGTTTATTGGCCAAGAACTACCATTTAAGAAGTGATTCGTACTGAGTCATTTGGGTGAAAGGATTATTGTTTAACGAAATCGTTAAAAGCAAATATGGGAATTCATTAATTATTCTTTGGTTAATTAGTTTCTAGTTTTGCTAGTAACTATTTACTGAAGTTATTTTATAGTACAGACTACCAAAAAATCCTATACTAAGATAAAACAGCCGTTTAATGATTTCGGGTTTTCAGTGTTATTAACTACTACCGGTCTGTGATATAATTTTGACAAACGTAACAATCTAGACAAGATATCTTATACTAATAACTCCTTATTCATCAGCAGCTTCTTGTTGGTAGGTAGTTACTAAGAACACCTAAAGCTAGTCACTGAAAGACAGTCGTAAACATTTTAGTAGAGATGCAATCGTCAAGACAGTTGAATATCATCACTAGTGTGCAACGCGAATAGGGTATATTATTAGCTAAGGTATTCAAGGACATCACGGTGTATGTGGAACAAATAAATAGGACAAGGATACAGAACAGAAAATCGTTGAGATATACGTGAGAAGTCCAAGTGTTTGAACTTGATTTAAAAAAACAAGCTAAAGGGAATTACACGCACTATTTAGGAAATTATCTGCTAGGTCTTAAAAAAAATTTGGAGTGGTCCGAAAACAAGAATAATGAGTTCTCACAAACGAAACAAACATATGGCAACGATATATTCTTACGACTTGACCACTAACTGATGGCCTGGTCTTAAACACCAACAGTTTTTCTTAGCGCAGTAAGTTCTCTGACATCCAATGATTTTTCAGGGTTAAACATTACAGTGACCTAGAAACGACAAATTGAGTTTTAGAGAAATCATGCTAAATACCGGTTGGATGAAAGTTAGCTTATATAAATGAGCAGAACTGCTCACTTATTATGAAGGAAAAGCTCGTTAAAATGCGTAATCTTCCAGAGGGTTATGTTTTCGGGATGGGGAATCCACTGTTAGATATATTGGTAGATGCTGATGATTATATGTATGAAAGATACGAACTACAAAAAGACAACGCCATACTGGCTGAGGAAAAACATATGGAGATTTACGAAGAAATTCAGAAAAGAAAAGATGCGAAATATGTTGCCGGAGGAGCCACATTGAACACAGTCAAAATGATTCAGTGGATACTTCAAAAACCATTTGTGTGTTCGTACGTCGGATGCATAGGTTCTGATCTACCAGGGAAATATATTAAGAATGATTGTCGGGGATTGGATTTACTGACAGATTTCCAGATCACAACGAAACCGTTGAAAACCGGAAAAGTAGCAATCCTTATAAGTGAAAATCTACGTAGCATGGTCACCTATTTGGGAGCAGCGTGTGATCTTTCATTGGCCCACATTGAACAACCACATGTTTGGAGTCTTGTGGAAAAAGCACAAGTGTATTATATTGCAGTAAGTCTAAACTGTGTTATCTAGTTATTTTCAAGGGTTTCGTAATAAATACCTGTTATGAAGGTATGCTGAAAGTAGCCAAACATTCTTTGGAGAACGGAAAGTTGTTCTGTTTCAATCTCAGTGCTGCTTTCCTACCTCAGTTTAATACTAAAGAAGTAAATGAAATGATATCCTACTCAGGAGTGGTAATTGGGAATGAGTCTGAAGCCGCGGCGTTTGGAGATGCTCACAGTCTTACTGATAAAACCATTCATGCAGCAGCCAGGTATATAGCTGACTTACCATTTGTTGATGGAAAAAAGCGTAAACGATTGGTCATTGTAACACAAGGGAAAGATCCCATAATATATACGGATTCTACTGACCCTACCGTTCATCAATATGTTGTAGAGCAGTTGAAAGACGAAGAAATGGTAGATACAAATGGAGCTGGTGATTCCTTTGCCGCCGGATTTATTGCAGATTATATACGTGGTAAGCCAATGATCACGTCGCTGCAGTCCGGTGTGAGAGCTGCAGCCTATATTATACGTAGATCTGGCTTTTCCTTAGGTTCGAGAGAGTCTAGTGCGTTCAAAATAAATTTATAAAACAGAACCAAACTTACCTTAATTATCTCTAGTGCCATATTAAATAAGCATGGAACTCCTGGTAAAATGAAGATATTTTTCACTTTGACAATAGGATAAGAGCTTTCATTATCCATCTGGATTCCTGTTGCATATAGTAATTCAGATGACTCCGGTATTTTGGCAAGTTTGGTTATGGGGTCTGAAGAGGAAATCATATTCGGTTCTGATAGTCTCCTGAGGGTTTGTAAGAACTTTGGATGAATGATAATCTTTTCATTTAGTGCCTTTGCAACACCTTCATATGTCACATCATCGTGAGTAGAACCTATACCCCCCGATGTTATTACATAGTCGTAACGGTTCATATAGTTGCGAACTTCCTCTGCAATAGCATCTGAGTCATCGGGAATAACAGAAATCTACATTAGGGTGTTATCTGTGCACTTAAGTTACCTTCCGAAGTCGTACACCAAAAAGCGGGGCAGTGAGGCATACTTGTCGTGAATTGGAATCTTTTGCTTTTCCATTCAGTATTTCGTCACCGATAACTGAAATTAGTTGTGGTTAAGGGAGATCTGTGAATAAACTAATCACTTGCAACAAATATTTTCTAGGTGTGACAAAGTCTCAAGTCCGGTGGCAGACACTATCTAAGAAGAATGTACAGTTTCTTGATGTGGGTTCGTGTAGCTCGTGAAATATGTGTCATCGGGATAATGCGTGCCTAGCGTTCCATAGTTAGAGCGAATCTGTGTATATAACAATGGGAAACCTTAAGTTTCACGAGATATGAACCTGTGTCGATCAATATACTGTAGGAACAAGCTAGTTCGACTATTGGGAGGATTGTATATCTGAGTAGCTAGGTACATTTTGAGGACATGTGGTAAGTTTTGGATTTCCGAAGTCAAACAGAGCATGCTAAAATATTTGGTCACTGATGTAACTATATTAGGAAACTAGGTAGTCAATAGGAGAAACAGCTCTAAACAGTGCAATAGCTCGGCATATAATTCATACCGAGCATACCACCAATATTCCATAATCCTTTCAAATCGTTAGCAGAAAAAAACAAGTAGGGTCTCTCCGGTTTTCCGAAGCACCAACAATAAAAAAATTAAAACCTGACTTGTTTATCCACAATGAGACAATAATCAACTTATTTCTACCATGGTAAAATATTTCTTTTATTATCATCATTTTATTAGCGTTTATTTTGTTATGTGGTCTTCGCTAAACTAACTCTTATTTTATGTAAACTAAAATTATCCGTTTATTCGTGTGGTCTTTATTCACTTAATGCTCCTGTGTAAACTTCAAATCCTGTTCAATTATTACATAACCTGCCTTATTAACTTCTAATTCCTGTAATTATATTTAAACCCTTCAACACCTGAAATTATCACAGTCTTATCTGTCTCCGGACCTCATTTAATTACTGCTCATTCCCTCCTCGAATGATTTTGAATTCCATCTTCCAATGAACTCACACCTGTCATTTTACAGATATATATATAGTATTGGCAATACTTGTCATTTTAATTCTTCCCGTCATCAAAGTCTAATGTTTCACATTATATCATACCTTAATGCCAACTTTTACTACATATATGGTTGTAAGCAGCTGATGCTAAACCACAAAATATAATGAATTCATATTCTGCCTCAATCGTTGTTTTAGCTTTATTCAAACTAGTGAAGAACATTAGGGCTGACAAGCGGAAATATGTAGGAGACCTGAGAACGGCAGCAGAAAAGTTTGCAAAAGAAGGAATTATATAAGAACTACATGATACTATTAAAAAGCCAGTGGGGAAAGAAAAGCAGTACACAGACCTCCCTACAGATATTGCTTCACCAACAGCAAGAGATATTAGCAAGGCAACCATATAAACCAGTAATGCCAAAGTACCATAGCCAGAGAGCATACCAGGTGAAACCACTAAGGAGTACCTGAGATAGTCACCGCCATACGGAACTCCTATGAGCCTTCATTGGAAAGTCGTGTATGGAGGACAGCTCACTGATGCATTCTCAGTGTACACTTGTTTTAGATAAGACTGCCTACTCTCACCTGTTCTTTTTGTGCTAGTTGCTGACTAGAATATGAAGACCTCCACAGTTCATGATAAGCACGGAATACAATGAGGACTGAAGGCGTAGCTGAGTGATTTTAATTCTGCAGATGAATCGGCCTTCCTGTCCTATACACAGCGGTAAACAAGAACGAATACAGCTAGTGTAGAAGATTTCGCAGAAATAAGCCTCAATATTAACAAGGAAAGAAGCACGAACCTAAAGTATGACACAGAGTAGCATGTTAGCTCAACCTATGTCGGTTTCCTTGACGAAGTGGGGATTATTGTCTCTGTGTAGTAGTGCTACTGAGTAGCAATTGGAAAGGAAATCTCGAGACAAAGTCCCTTGGAGGTTTACAGCTAGTGACGTATGTAGGCAAATACCTCTTGAGATGAATAACAGGGTTACGCTATAAGTAGAAAAAACCACTGAAGTGAGGAGGAACGTTACGACACTACTATTTAGGACCATGTTAGCGCTAATCTGTTTTCTGCATTATGCTCAGTGGGTGAGACTGTAATTTGTGAACACCCCGTGAGCGATGCTAAAATGATCTTGGGGAAACTCTGTCACTTGCTAAGGTCAAATGAGGGTTATACATTAGTGGCGAAACATGATTGCGATCTCCAGATAGACAGGTTTATTGCTCAAATATAAGGTTATTATTACGAAATGACATCAGCAATAATGCCAAAATAATATATAAGCAAACAGATAAGTGAAATTCTTGCAACAATCCAACGACCAACTCAAATCTCGTAAGTCATAGTTCCACTGTGCAACACTAAGCGGATAGAGTCGCTTTCAGTTACTGAAAAGGTTAGAACATCTTTGGACCGTACAATTAGATACCTATGAGACCGAGGGATTTGGGAGATACCATTTTTAGCGCGCAAGACATAGTAGTCACACACCGCGCCATGACCTTCAGCTGGACAGCAGACCCACATTGGAGAAGACCGAAGGCCCAGAGGCCTGTGTTAATCATGCTAATTGTGTTGTCTCAGTTTATCTGACTTTCTTTTGAAGGAGTCAACAGATGTGGCTTCAGTCACGTGTTACGGTAACTAATTCCTATTAACGATGATCCAAGGTTAGTTTCAGTTTCAGTTTCCGTTTCGTAAGGACGAGAGGCTTGGTAGCTTCTGTTAGTCCTGGCAATGGTGATCCCTCAGTTGATCCAACTTTCTTTCGAAAGGGTCGACCGATGGAGCCTCAATCACATGCTGAGGTAATGAATTCCACGCGTTGATGATTCGATGTGAAAGTCGATAGTCAGCTGACAAGTAGTTTGTTCTAGACTTGTGAACATTTTTGAGTGTCCTCGTAAATTCTCTGCTTCGGAAGTCAAGAAAATGAGGGCATATCAGGTGCAGATTTATCACTAAGTAATTTGAAAACTATGATTAAGTCGCCTCTAGTTCTACGATATGACAACGGGAATAGGTTTAGCTTGGCCAGTCGAGCATCATAAGGAAGCTTCGCTATTCCGGGAATCAGCTTAGTTTCTGTTTTCTGAACCTCTTCCAAAGGCTCATTCATTTTAAGCAGGGGCTAGCCGCTTGTATGCAGTACTCAAGTTTAGGACGTACAAACACAGTCTACAAATTCAAAGAAGTTTTAGCGTCGACACGGCTAAAAGATCTAGGTATTGACCATAAGGTTCTAAAGCCTTTGGCGGCTATCGCACGGCAGTGTGCAGTAGTCTTTTAGTCTTGGCTAACGATGACTCCTAAGTCATTATGTGTCTGGACAACATGTAGCTCAGTGTTATTCATGGTGTATGTATCCGTACCTTGATGACCGATATGCATCACAACACACTTGGAAGTATTTATCGGCAACTACCAGGTTTGAGACCATTCAGATCATTTCTTCAGGTCATTTTGGAGTTCTAAGCTACCACCCTTACATCGTATCGTTCTCCGTACTTTGACATCATCAGCAAATAGCAAGAGCGATGATGATAGGAGACGAGGAAGGTCATTTACATACAAGAGGAATAGCACTGGCCCCAAAACTGTACCCTGATGCACCCCACTAAACAAAGTTTCTCAGCTAGATAACTTTGAGTTCACCCGTCAGAGGCTTTGCTGAAATCAATATGGGCTACGTCTACTGGTAACTTTTGGTCCTTAAAAGCGCATCAGATTTCACGAGCGACTAATAAGTTAGTGAGACGAGTTTCTTCTGTAGCCCGTTTTCTAAATGGTATCCAGCAGGAAACGCCTAGAAGCCGCAGTCGCAATGCTCGATCGGCTTCTAGCGGGAAACATAACCTGACCTCCCAAATCGTCGACAACCCTCCGGAATCCCACAGTATTATTAACGCAACTGTGGTTGCTTCTCCTAGCAGCGTTGACGAGTGGGAAGGAAGAAACAACATAGCGATATAAAAGGGAATCCTGCTGCCACTAAGTTAGCCGGGAAATCGAAGGCTGATCACAGTGACAGATCAGTTATTTTTCATAGAATGAAGGAGAGTGAAAGCTCTGAACCAAAAACTCGATTTCGGCATGACATTGTGCTGATATAACAGCTACTTAATCAACTCATGCCTCAAAATATCCCCGGAGTCACCTTACTAAAGGTGTACAGACTAGGTAGTCTAGCGAACTTGAAGCCTAGTCAATACAGCATATAGTCAGCTGACAAGTAATTTGTTTTGAGTGTGAATGTTTTTAGAGTGTCCTCGCAAATTCTCTGTTATGAAAGGGACAAAAAGTAAGAGTATATCAAATGCAAATTAATCGCTAAGTAACTTAAAGACGTTCATCATATCACCTCTAGTCCCTCTTGTAGCGGTAAACACATCCACAAAATAAATAGCTCCGTAAGTTTTCGACATTGGATGCTGACCACATTAGTTTTAATGGACTCACCTAGCTAAAGGTGTTCAGTGATACATCCGCACCAGATCACGAGTGGGAACGCCATGCTCAACATTCCCTGCAATTGCTAACCAGATTAGACCACACGATCCTCGATATATTGATAGCCTATCAAATATATCTTCAAGCCTACTCGCTTCTGTCCATTGATTTCACTTGGTGGGTACGCTTCATATTAGAAGGTGTTACTGGTTTAGGCGTTGTCAAACTCCGAATGCTTGTGACATCTTTATTAGTGAACCCAACGTGATCTGGTTCACCTGATTGCAAACTGTGAGTCTGTTCCTTTTTGGGATTTTATGTATCATTGCGTTATTTTAATTTTTTATACATTGTTATGCTTTTTTCCGTATATTTGGATATATATTTCTCATTCGTTCATTCTCGTACTCGATATTTCACCATGACTAAACAGAAACTCAAGGTACGTAAGCTAAAGACGATGTCCCCACCTTCGTTCCAACTAACGCCCTTCTGGCCAGACAACACCAAAGCCTGGTTCTGCTACACAGAAGCCGACTCCTGCGAGCACGGCGTGATCGACACACGTGTACAATTCCTCGCATTAGTCAAGGCACTACCGCGTGAATTCAACAGGTACGTAACACCTAGCATGTATACTAGTGATGTTTCGGAACCCTACGAAACACTGAAACGATCAGTCACGTGTTGCGGTAATTAATTCTTTTGGTCGATGATCCAAGGCTAAAGTTTATAGTCAACTGACAAGTAATTTGTTTTGAGTGTGAATATATTTAGGGTGTCCTCGCAAATTCTCTGTAATGCAAGCGACAAAAGCAAAAGTATGTCAAATGCAAATTATTCGCTAGGTAATTTAAAAACTTTCATCATGTCACTTCTAGTTCCTTTTTGTGAAAATGGAATCAGGTTCAGTTTAGCCAGTCGATCTCCGTATGAGAGCCTTTCTATTCGAGGTAACTACTATGTTGCGGTTCTTTGAATATTTTCTAACAGCTCATTGTCTTTTTTAGACAAAAGCTAGCCGTTTAGATGCAGTTCTTTATCATCGACATTATTGTGGGGTAACTGTGCCCTAGCAAAATCATCCGCAATCAAGCCACTGAATATCGAACGGTTAACCGATACTCTTCAAAATCAAGGACAGCCAATTACTTAATTACTTACTTACGCCGCCGACCAGCACTCTCCAACCCACTCTGTCCTGGTCCTTCTTTTCTAGTTCCATCCAATTCTTGTTCATTTTTCTCATGTCTATTTCCATTTCTCGGCGTAATGTGTTCTTTGGTCTTCCTCTTTTCCTTTGGCCTTGAGGATTCCATGTGAGGGCTTGTCTTGTGACGCAGTCCGGTGCTTTCCTCAATGTGTGTCCTATCCACTTCCAGCGCTTCTTCCTGATTTCTTCCTCCGCTGGGATCTGGTTTGTTTTCTCCCACAGCACGTTGTTGCTAATAGTGTCCGGCCAACGGATCTGAAGTATTTCGCGTAGACAACTGTTAATAAACACCTGTATTTTCTGGATGATGGCTTTCGTAGTTCTCCAGGTTTCTGCCCCATACAGTAGAACTGTCATGACATTTATATTGAAAATCCTGACCTTGGTGTTGGTTGACAGTTGCTTTGAGTTCCAGATGTTCCTCAGTTGTAAATATGCTGCTCTTGCTTTGCTGATCCGCGCCTTCACATCTGCATCAGATCCACCCTGTTCATCAATGATGCTGCCCAAATATGTGAAGGTTTTTACATCTTCCAATACGCATCAGTTAACCGCACGTCATGAACTGACTCAAGCGGTGGTGGTCGTGCATTCTTCCTTGTACCTACTCTTACTGATAGTTCCGTAAGTCTTCGACATTTGATGCTGACTGAATTAGTTTCACTGGAAACACTCACAGATTACCGACGTATGTGATCTGTGTTGAATAATTTGGGGCCAACTCAAGTTAGGCGGGAATGTCGTGAACAACCAGCCAACTTTGAAGTCATGCTTCGCGGTCAGTACTCATTGTGCATACTCTTTCGACGTATCCAAATACTATAGCCGCTCTAGTGATCGTACGACGCAAACGACCTGTGATGCGTTTAGTGATGAGCCCGACGTGATCTGGCACACCTGATTGCAGACTGTGACTGGTCCTTTTTGGAACTTTATGTATCATTTCTTTACTTTGATGTTTATCTATTTTGATGTTGTTTGAATCGTCAATGTCCTAACTATGGATATATTGAGGTTTATTAGAGTTTTATGTTTTATGTAGTCTCATGAGTTCTAAAGTGTAGATAAACAGTGTATCTAAATACTACAGCATTTCTGAGAGTTTATATTGATCATTTTCTCTCAAAAGAATAGTTTTGTGTCATTTCAATTCGTAGCATATTTCAACAAATGTACTGGCGATATTAGTAGAGCCTCATTAATCTCCCGAAGAGCTGAAGTTGGCTAAGAACGAATTTGACTACATGATAGGCTTGGAAATCATCATCAGGCCTTTCGATCTCTACGCAAGTCTGCACATGATTTTCGGCTTAAGAAACGCTGTACAAACATTCCAGAGATTCATCGATGGAGTTTTGTAGGGTATCAACTTCGCAGATGTGCATGTTGATGACTGCTTGATTGTAAGTCCAGACGGAGAATCTCGTCTCCAGCACCTGGACCTTGTCTTCGAACGACTGCAAGAACACGACATTACTGTAAACATCCAGAAATGTGAAGCCAGCACCGACTCTCTAGATTTTCTCGGGCAAACCATTGATGCTCAAGGCATTCGACCTCTAAAGAGCAAAGTGGCAGCTATTCTGGACTACCCAGAGCCGACTACAATAAGGCAACTACGCACGTTCAACGGCCTAGTAAATTTCTGCAAGTGGTCCATACCGAAATGCGCGTCTTTTATGAGACATTTGACTGACCAACTTCGTGGAAATTCGAAATCCATCGATTTGGAAAATAACACGAAAAAGCGTTCTCTGCAGTTGAGGAACTTACCGCCAAATCAACATTGCTTGCATACCTATACACTGGAGCACCCATTAGT